TCCTGCCTGTTCGAGGAACACCCACTGTCTCGGTTACAGTAACTCCGTCAGACGATTTCGGAAGCCGGAAGCACAAAAATAGAAAACCGACGCCCGTGAAACTGTCAGGGTCGCTCGTAAGGACGTCTTAAGGGAGAAATCAGATCAGGACGAGTTCTCGAACGACACACCCAGGAGGCGTTGAAGACGTTTGAACACTTCGTTTTAGGTTATAAGTCTGACATCCGCAGAACAGAGCGAGTTCAGTTTGACCTTCACTGGAAAATTTAAATCGGCTGCGACAGTATTACTGAACAGGACAGGCAAAACCGATACTGCTATTACCTTCAGCGCAGTCCCGAATAAATTCCCTTGAAGTTCATTTGATACACGCCCATACAAGAACACCTCAAGTGTTTTATATATAAAGGTCTAGGTTTTGTGTTGCGTGCCACTTTCCTGTAAGATGAATTACTCAGAAATTCAAAGAAAAAGTTTCAGTCGGAAAACCCAAATGTAGAACAAATGGTTCGAAACATTACACAATATAAATCTTTGCAACACGCAAACTAATAAGATTCTCTTATTTTGAAGATACTCAAAATATAATCGCATGTATTCACACCTTGACTTGTGTGCCAGAGAATTAAAGGGGTGGGTTCGGGGGTATCGAATGCCACTGCTCTGCGATGTATCAAGCAAGCTACAGAGGCGAGACTCTGTTCCCTTCATATGCATGCAAGGAACACAACCAAAGGAACAATACAAAATAAAGCAGTATGCAATAGCGCACACTCATTTCTACTTACAAGTACAGCTGTAACAAGTAATGTTGTACGTCGGGTGAATATTTATGCAAGTTATGGTAAATATCTAGGCTGGGCTGTCGAGTGGTGTATTCCAGAACGTGAAGTATCCCTCCCCACACCCCGCCCGCGTTCAAACATTCACCCACGCAACATGTTTTGCAAGGAACAAATACATTTCGAAACATAAGAGATGCAAATTTCATGTCACGTCAGCAGATGTAAGAGTCGTTTCTTTCTTTAACAGAATATTATAGCTTTTCGTTGTTTTTTCTCTTCAGAAAGTGAATTGTGGCAAGGAACACGTTCATCGATCGGGAAGTTCACTGTCTGCACAGCGATGTCAGTTTCCAGTCTGTGTCAGCCCTCTGAGGCGCCCAAGAGGAAATTCTGTTGCCCTAACCGGGAATCGAAACACGGACCCAGCGCCCTTCTCGATTCTCCGAGTAACCTCTCCTTCCGAGGTCAAAATATTGCGACATGAGCAAAGACCACAGACCCAGCCTAAGCAGTAGCTTGAAGAATGTCCCTGCGTGTTTACATAGCCACATTCAGCATTTAACGTAATCAGCCGGCATTAGCAGCTCTGCTCTGTTTGTTCAGCTGCCGTGTCCCTTAAAACGCATTTCTGTTACTATTCGTCAGCGAAGTTGGACACAGAAGTTCAGACGAATCTTCTTGCTATTAGGTCATCAGCTCAGATTGAAGGAAAACAAATCCCTGCGACTTCTGAGTTAAACAAATCGGGCTTTATGACTAGAACTCGACTTTTCTTTTCTCGCAGCTTGCATTTTAAGCAAAGATTAACGACAAACTAAAAGAATATTTAATAAAACTCCGCATTGTTTAAACAGTTCACATAATACCGTCGAGATAATCAGGTACAGCACTAAAATTGGGTGTATGTATCACATTTTAGGCAGTAAGAAACACTCACAAAAGTTTGATTCTCCACCCTTCCTGACCGTTTGAAGAACCCGGAATCAGATGGCAAGACTATTTCTGTGTTGAAAATCATAATTACGCTGTGCGAAGGGCTTTTGTGACGACGGTGATGAAACTTCAGTGCTGTGATTGGCCGAGTAACTCTCGGTTGAAACAAGAGAGTGACGATAAACTCTGGAAAGTAATTTTGGAACGAGAAGTTCCTTCAAACGCTTCTATCCACATACAAAGACTATTTATTATAAAAACAAATTCAGCAACAGACTCGTACAAATACTAGCCAACAAAACATTGTTTTTGTTGTGTGTGTCTTCCCTACTTGAAAATTATCAGACTGGTTCTATTCCTGAAAGACATATCTTTGATACTGTCACATGACACGCACAAACACTTCGAGATGCTGTTATGCCACGCAACACAGAATACTTGTTAATTCTGAGAATGACATGGCCTCAATCAACGAGCGCGTATGTTTTTGATAATTAAAACAAAAGTTACACTCACACACCTGAACGTTAACTTTCCTTGTACTTCATAATCTGTCTGTCAAGACTGACGTAATTAATAATAAGCTTACAGAGAAGTGTTTTCAAAGCGGTGTGGGTGTTTGTTTATACGATCAATATCAATTAGTCGTGGAAGACAAAATAACACACAAAAGAGTCATTAGTTTCCACGTCGTGAGGGCTTCAATGAAAATTATTCGTCGGTTCTGGCGGAGGGCAAGGCGCAGTGTTATGGTGTCTCTTGCATAAACTTTACAGCAGTAGCAACGCTCTGAATAATAAAACGCAGTACAACAGAATAATTTTGGATCTCGGATGTAAATTGTACTGTCTTCTGACATACTCGTTCCGCCTTAAGTACGATCTCACTTCCAACTCGTGTTGTTCATGTTATAGAGCGCACTCGTTCAGATAAGATACACGCCAGCTTTATCTTACAAGATGCCAGAGATGTGGCAGCATGCCGGCCGAAGGCGAAGGTCAGACTGGTCACGTGTTTGTACCTTCACGTGCATTATATTTTAATGACGTATAACACAGCTCAATAAACGAAGCGATATTCCTGGTCGTAGTTTCAATATAATGTATTTCATTACAACTTTTTAAAAACTACGACGCAAAATAATGTTACAGGAAAGGAACTATCTGTTCACAGCAACGTCTGTTTTAAATTCTGACACATACCACAGAAAGTGCGTCGGTTAACAAGAGTTTTTGTAGCGACAAATTACGAAAACAAATGACGCACAAGTTGGAATAAAATTCTCTAAAGCTCATCGCCTGATTCAAACTGCTATAATTTCGGGAGGCTAAAAACGCCAACTCGAATTTGAAGATGCCTATCATTCAGGCACAAGACTAACAATTACACCTTAAATGCCTAAGGAATTAAGCAAACTGAGGCTCAAGGTAGAGAGAGGGAGAGAGCCCTTACAAACAACGGTGCATCAATCACTTTGAGAAATGAATCTGCAATATTGTGAAGTGGATAGATGTTTTGCGCGCGTGTGGGAGTGTATATACAACAAGGAACATATTCCAGGCTTTCTTTTCAACTGCTGGAAGTAAGTTTTTGTACGACGTCTTAATTAACGGATGCTGGAAATTCAGACCGAAGTAAAACACGTTTTGCATTTCATATGAAAAGAGGAACTGAGATTTTGTTTTCGTCTTTCAAATGGAAAATACACACGTACTTGAAGTTGCGCATTAAAATCTTTTCTGTGGAAAACTCTTCTGTCTTACCAAACCCTCCTTTTTTTACAGACGTTTAATATTTAGCAATGTAATTGTATGGTTTCGTGGGTTTTAAACCAACCTCATTTCTTTGTACGTCACACGCACGTAGAAACACGCTGTGTTATTCTTAACTTCGACATGAGGAAGTTACTGACACGAAATTGAAAAAGCTGCTTGATGGAGTATCCATGAGTGAAGGGAAGATAAAAATGCAGGTTTCGTCTGTATCTCAGACAGATGGCCTGCCACGTCACATACAGGAAGGTGCAAACCTCTGGATACATTTGAGATAAAAACACGTAAGAATGTGTTTATTCCCAACGACGTCCCACTTAATATAACCACATTTCATGTCTGCCCTTACAAATATCCTCACAAGCACATAGACACTTTTACTGTCGGTATTCAAAATAGCCGCAGACCACGAACTTTGCAGCCTCGGCTGGCCAGTGAGTCCTAACTTTCGAATCAACCAGTATCATATATATATATATATATATATTATCAATGCAAATGTTCCGCTGTAATTCATCTGTGTAGTTGGAGCCTGCTTAAACGCGAAGAGCAAATGGACTTCCATTAATTAAAAGCAGCCGCTACACGGCAGCATTCTTAACCCAGACACAGAACAAGCGCTTCACTGGATCTAAGCACTCTCGTCAATCCACCATCAAATTGAATTTCATTACATTTTCCATGGAATTCAAGCTAAAGCCGAGAATAAAATTTTGCTGCTCCAAACAGGATTGCGAAGACCAACATCGGTTTCGTTTGCTGCAAAGCAGCGAAAATTTCTAACCAACTAACCAGCTGGCTTACCGAACCCGAAGGTTCATCACCGAATTAACGTAAGCCCTCCACCGGACCCTGTCCTGGGCCAACACAATCCAGTCTCCTTCAACTCCTATCTCCCATAGATCCCGCCTGAGATTATCCTCCCATCTACGTCTAGGTCTCCCCAGAGGTCTCTTCCCCTCAGGCTTCCCAAATAGTGGACCCAACCAACCAGATGGCTTAC